TGCTGAAGAAGAAATGCCCTTGAAATGGATGTTCCAACAAGACAACGACCCCAAACACACCAGTAAACGTGTAACATCTTGGTTCCAGACCAACAAGATTGACGTTATGGAGTGGCCAGCCCAATCCCCGGATCTTAATCCAATAGAAAACATGTGGGGTGACATCAAAAATGCAGTTTCTGAGGCAAAACCAAGAAATAGAGAAGAACTGTGGAATGTAGTCCAATCATCCTGGGCTGGAATACCTGTTCACAGGTGCCAGAAGTTGGTTGACTCCATGCAACACAGATGTACAGCAGTTCTCAGAAACAGTGCTTATACAACTAAATATTAATTAAGTGATTCAAAGGAAATCAAACATTTTTCAGTTTATATAGTGAATGTTTGAGTTTGTAAAGAAGAATACAAACACTGCTGTAAAGAAGAATACAACAGAAATTTGATATATTTTTCTTCATGTTTTGATTTGGAATAGAATGTGTAGTGTTCCCAATGCATTTGTGTGTATGGAAATAAAAGCTATTAGAAGGATTTTGAGCTTTATTCACTTTTTTCAACACACTGCTATTATTTTGAACACATTGTGTATGTGTATGTATGTATGTATTGTGGGAACTCGCTTCAACGTGGTAGAGCTTTTAAACACAAACAGCTACTCGCTTTCTTTTTCAAGGGCCTTTTTAGCCCACTTTTATTTAAATGAAAATGTCCCATAACATAATGCTTCCCTCGCAGGGGTATCCACCAACAAAACAAAGATTCAGCCTCCTGGCTTACACACAGTTCAATGTCTGTCTCCTGCAGACTCTTTCCAAATTATAGCCACTAGCACACAGCTAGTCTGGCTTCCACCTGACTCCAAGCTGCCGGGGTGGAGCCCTGCTGACATCCTATCTGCCGGGGTGGAGCCCAGAACCCTGGTCCTGACTCTCTCTAAAGGCCTGCACACACCTGTGCAATCAGTGTCCTGGCCATTCCCAAAACCTGGTCCCAGGATTGGAGATTTCATCCCTCCCAGATCTCTTTGAAATCTCCAAGCTCCAGATCCCAAAACAGACCTTACAAACAAAGGAGAGTGAAAAGCCACTTTCCTCCGTATCAAACACTTACCCTGGAGCCCCTCAACCTGCCTTGTTGAGAATCCTGAGTGACAGATCGCCACACTGTCACATATCCCCCCCCTTTGTTTTGACCCCGTAGGGGGCAGAACACATGACTTACAGCTTCTGGCAGCTCTGTGCCAGCTTTCACTTACAGGGGTCCAATCTGGTCTGACTATATTTTTCCTAAAGGAGAACTCTACCCAACGATTCCTTTGGTGTCTCTCCCCAAGCCCCATTGTCACTCTGCTATGGGCTCTAATCAGACCTTGCCTACTCTTTTTCCGGGTGCACTTCCATAAACACTTTCTCTCTTGAAATCCTAACAGGGTCCCCCTGGCCTTTCTCTGCCCCTTTGCTTCAGGTTCCAAGGTTTCCTAATACCTCTCTCAGTATTACTGTCCCAAGGCTGTAGGGGATCTATTTCTACTGTATTTGTACCAGGACCACCCCCCTGATTTCTTGTACCTCTAGCTATCAAACCTGCATGACTCATTACCACAGCATTCAGTTTACCATGAACAGATAACTTCCAGTCAATTTTACACCTTTCAATATCTTTTCCAGCATTTGTTAGGACAGTGTATGCAGAGGGCACACACACCATAGGGCAGCCATCACCCACGTGAACCTCACAAAATGCCACTTCACCTGGCGTCATGCACTCTGCAAGCAGCTGTCCCACCATTTTAACTTTTTCTACACCACTTGGATCTGTATCCAAATGCTGCACAGATGTCCTCTCTTCTGATCCATTTTGCCAGTTTTCACATACCATTGGTCCCTGTATTCCAGATGTCTCATCAGACCTGCTACATAAACCTCTTTTTGGCCCAATGACCCCGATTTCTTTCTGCACATCCATTTGAGCCCTGGTCAGGATCTCTGCTGTTCTATGGTCCATGCTCGGCCCTTCCATCTCATGTGTTTTGTCCAATGGTGCAGTCAACACGCCCTTCACTGACAACTGATCAGCACCATCCTGGACCATAGCAGCAGAAATGCTTCCCACCTGGCTGTTAGGAGGTGAAAGCTTTGACTCATTTTTCATTTCTCCAAAACATTTCTCATCTATCAAATTTACAGGTAATCCAGCGGCATACCCTGATACAACTTTTAACACCATCAACAAATTCAGAAATAAACCACTTTCTTGTTCCCGTTTGATATGTACAGCCAGCCATCTGGTGCTCCACCTAGTGGTACTCCGCAGTACCAGACCATCCGACTGTGGAGGAGACACCCCAGTATACATTGGTTGTACATTGCAAAGTTCAAGCAGCATCTCCTTTAATACTTTGGTTACAACCCAACCACTTGACTCTAAACCTAAGACCTTCCTGACCATATTTAGGGCACTGGGAATGCTGAGAGACTCACCTGCTGAGACTTGAGAAGTTGAAATTTTTAAAGGGACCTCCTCCAAGCTGGAGATAACCACAGCCTGGTGCTCCACCAGAGCGCTGCCATGTGCTTGGCTCACTCTCAACATCTCAGACTCAGCATCCACAAGCTGCCCCTGATCATTCCCAGTGACAACATAATTTTGACACTCCATGCCAACATCACTTTTGTGGGTCACAGACAAAGTCTCTGCTGTATACACGCCCTTATCTATAGGCTGTTCTATAGATCCTCCTTCTGGCACAGCAGAAACAGTGTCCACCTTATTTTTTTGCATAAAAGCCTCATCTATCAACGAGATTAGCCTTTTACCCCAACTATCCCAATCCATTGTATATGTGCTCAATTCGTCAGTGCTCCTCAGCACCGATCCATCCGCCCAAGGAGACACACAAGAATAGACAGGCTTAGTTGCAGATCCATTGCACAAATCACTCTGGATCACATCAGACTTGGGTAACACCTGGTTTCCCACTGCAGGTTGCAATACCTCACATCCACCACTTTGCTCTGGTGGCGCTTCCTGAATTACCCACACAATTGCATTTTTGCCAGGCTGCATTAACCCAGTGTTCACCTGAACACCTTCAGTATTGTTAGGCTGCACCAACACACTCCTATGACAAGGTGCAGTTCCACTCTGCTCCACCAGAGTGACATCGCAGTTGTCCCGGGCAACCTCCGGCTCCAATACACGGAGACCCCTGGAGATGTCTAAGGACACCTGTGCTGTCTTACCACCAGTTGCTATGGGAAAAGACCCATCTTTAATTACATCTTTTGCACTGCAAGAGCTCAGGGTTTTCCCAACAGCAGTACATTTCACAACAACATCATCAGCATTTGTAGCTCTTGTGGGCTGTACTAGCCTACTACCAACCTGTAACTGGCACACATTATTGACATCACTTTCTTTTTGAGAACCATGCACAGGTTTTACTTCAGCCCCTAACTTCCCACTGTACAAGGCACTGCACAGGGAAAAGTCATTCTCAAAAGCACATTCAGTGACCCAACTAACTGGGGTCACTCCTACATCAGAATGGACAGTCTCATAACCAGTCCTTCTCAACATGACAGTCCCAGCCATGGTTTTATCACACACAGTCTTACCCACCACAGTAGTAGGTGTCACCATCTTCATTTGAGTGCGTCGTCTCATAAACACATCCTCAACTGCACTTTCCTTGGCAACTTTTCCCTTGCCCCAAGGTGAAGTAACAGACGCCATCATAGGCTCCATGGACTCTCTGGCACCCCCTGCAGGCCCAACAGGAACTTCCTCCCTGTTGCCAGAGGTGGTTGCTGACATTTTAAAACAAGACTCTGTACTTGCAGTTGTAGACATTTGCCCAGTATCAGCGGTATTCCAGAGTCTGGGACAGGAAAAGATCCCATGCCCCCACTGACCACATTCCAGGCATGGTACATTTCCACTCTTATATTTGTTGGGACACTGAGCCACATCTTCAATGCAGTTCCTCCTTCCAGACACTACTTTTTCTCTGGTCGCCATGGGAGATTGCACTCTCCAAGCAGAACTTTGCTGGCTAACACGCTGTATTGGCTCCTCTTGATACCACTTGCCATGATCCTTGTACGACATAGCCCCCCGTACACAGACAGCCCGACTGGCCTCCTCTGGGTTGCTATGGGCCTTCACTCTTGGTCCTGGCCTCTGGTCAGTCCCTCTCCTTGCACATAGCATAGGCTTCTCTCTGCTGGACCAACTCTGAAGCCGTGACACATTCACATTTTTCACAACAGCTACTGGTTTAACTGCAGCAGCGTTGCCATGGGTGACAACACCCCTCTCCCAGGTACGGACATCCTGCAGCTCTCTCCTTGCACTGAAGGTTGGCTTGCTTTCCTCTGTAGGTTGGTTCAATGCTGCCAGGTGCCGCTTGCACCAGTCCACAGCAGACTCACCCACATCTAACTTTCCCGGCTTGGCTGGGGCATGCGGTATATAACCCCCTAGCCACAGGGCTCTATCTCTATCTCTATCTTCAGCAAACATTGCTTCCTTTTTCTGTTTTGACCGCCCCATCTTTGCAGTCATGCACACAGCAGTGTGTTACACAGTTCAGCAACAACATGGAACACTGTATCTTTAAGGCAAAGTCCTTTTCTCTAGCAGGTTCTCCTCACCTGCACACACAGATAGTGCAGACTTATGCACCAAACAGTTCATATAACTGATGAACTTACTTCAATCGCCGGGATCTCCATTTCTGCCCGCATCCTCCACCATATGTGGGAACTCGCTTCAACGTGGTAGAGCTTTTAAACACAAACAGCTACTCGCTTTCTTTTTCAAGGGCCTTTTTAGCCCACTTTTATTTAAATGAAAATGTCCCATAACATAATGCTTCCCTTGCAGGGTATCCACCAACAAAACAAAGATTCAGCCTCCTGGCTTACACACAGTTCAATGTCTGTCTCCTGCAGACTCTTTCCAAATTATAGCCACTAGCACACAGCTAGTCTGGCTTCCACCTGACTCCAAGCTGCCGGGGTGGAGCCCTGCTGACTCCTAGCTGCTGGGGTGGAGCCCTCCTGACTCCTATCTGCCGGGGTGGAGCCCAGAACCCTGGTCCTGACTCTCTCTAAAGGCCTGCACACACCTGTGCAATCAGTGTCCTGGCCATTCCCAAAACCTGGTCCCAGGATTGGAGATTTCATCCCTCCCAGATCTCTTTGAAATCTCCAAGCTCCAGATCCCAAAACAGACCTTACAAACAAAGGAGAGTGAAAAGCTACTTTCCTCCGTATCAAACACTTACCCTGGAGCCCCTCAACCTGCCTTGTTGAGAATCCTGGGTGACAGATCGCCACACTGTCACAGTATGTATGTGTATATATATATATATATATATATATTTTTTTTTTTCATTGCTTTAACTTGTATTGCATTATTAAATTGTTTGTTTTCAATAACTATTTTCAGTCTATTAAACATACGGCATTGGTTTGCCTTTGTATTAGTGATATAACAGAACTCTGACTGTCAACATTTTGTAGGCAGGCCTGCTTTCCATGGATTCCTCAGCTGGGGTTTGGTATCTGATAAGAAAAGCAGGGACTGAGGTGGAAGAGAGATACATGCAGGGCCTGTCACCCATTGACATGAACCATGTGCAGCCAGCGTGTGACCCAGGGGAGGGGAGTGACTGAGGGAGATACTGTCAGTCTGCATGACATGTGAACTAAATTCCACTGACATGGATATAGTAGTCATGTCTCCAGAGTTACCTTCTGCCTGTCTCCCAAGAATCGTTCATTGTTAACACACATGCATGGTTGCATACAAGCAGAAACATTAAGCAACCAGTAAGGCTTAAAAAAATGCTTTTTTGTAAAAAAAATAGTTGACTGTAAAATTTAGAAATTAATTTATTCCATATTTGTATTGCTTTGGAGTGCTGACTTTGTTTCAGATAGCGGCTACAATTTTAGATGCTAAGTCTATGAAAACAGTATGGTCATGTGGGTGTTGATAGAAATTGTTCCTTGCTGTACCACTCTCAGTCTTTAATTTTGAAGCTGAACTCCAGACAGACAGCTAAATACACAGATGAAATACACTGCTCAAAAAGATAAAAGGAACACTTCGAAAACACATCAGATCTCAATGGGGAAAAATATCATGCTGGATATCCATACTGATATGGACTGGGTAATGTGTTAGGAACATAATGATGCCCCATTGTTTGATGGAAATGAAAATGATCAACCTACAGAAGACTGAATTCAAAGACACCCTGAAAATCAAATTGAAAAAATGATGCAGCAGGCTAGTCCCATTTTGCTGAAATTTCATTGCAGCAACTCAAAATGGTACTCAGTAGTTTGTATGCCCCCACGTGCTTGTATGCATACCTGACAATGTTGAGGCATGCTCCTAATGAGACGATGGATGGTGTCCTGGAGTATTTCCTCCCAGATCTAAACCAGAGCATCACTGAGCTCCTGGACAGTCGGAGGTGCAACCTGGTGGTGTCGGATGGACCAAAACATGATATCCCAGAGGTGTTCTATTGGGTTTAAGTAAGGTGAGCATGGGGGCAATTCACTGGTATCAATTCCTTCATCCTCCAGGAACTACCTGCTTACTCTCGCCACATGAGGCCGGGCATTGTCGTGCACCAGGATGAACCCAGGACCCACTGCACCAGTGTAGGGTCTAACAATGGGTCCAAGGATTTAAACCTGATACTTAATGGCAGTCAGGGTGTCATTGTCTAGCCTGTAGAGGTCTGTGCATCCCTCCATGGATATGTCTCTCCAGACCTTCACTGACTCACCACCAAAACGGTCATGCTGAACGATGTTACAGGCAGCATAACGTTGTCCTTGGCTTCTCCAGACCCTTTCACGTCTGTTACATGTGCTCAAGATGAACCTGCTCTCATCTGTTAAAAGCACAGGACGCCAGTGGCGGATCTGCCAATTCTGGTGTTCAATGGCAAATGCCACTCGAGCTCTATGGTGTCGGGCACTGATCAGAGTCCACTAGACGTCGGGCCCTCAGGCCACCCTCCTGAAGTCTGTTTCTGATTGTTTGGTCAGAGACAGTCACACCAGTGGCCTGCTGGAGGTCATTTTGTAGGGCTCTGGCAGTGCTCATCCTGTCCACCTTCTATGGTCCTGCCCAGCTCTCCTAAAGTAAACTGCCTGTCTCCTGGAATCTCCTCCATGCTCTTGAGACTGTGCTGGGAGACACATCAAACCTTCTGGCAATGGTACGTATAGATGTGCCATCCTGGAGGAGTTGGACTGCCTGCGCAACCTCTGTAGGGTCCAGGTATCGCCTCATGCTACCAGTAGTGACAATGACTCTAGCCAAATGCAAAACTAGTGAAAAACAGTCAGAAAAAGATGAGCAAGTAAAAAAAATGGCAGTGACCTCCACATGTTTTGGGGGTTGTCTCAATGTTGCCCATCTAGTGCACCTGTTGTTAATTTCATTAAACACCAAAGCAACTGAAACTGATTAACAACCCCCTCTGCTACTTAACTGACCAGATCAATAACCCAGGAGAATAATTGACTTGATACTATACTCTGATTAAAACGTTCCTTTAAATTTTTTTTTGAGTAGTGTATATACTGTATATGGGGGCTGTTTTCGCTGCCAATGGATTTGTATCTCCGTCCATCCAGGCCTGATGTTTACACAGCTCTGCCACACAGTACAGCCATCTAGGCCCGATGATCTGTTTTTTTTCTGTTGCAGTGAGTGAACACGTAAAAGAGAAGGAGCTCCTCTTTCCTTCAGCATGTCATTTTTTAGCGTATAAGCACTGCATAACAACTGATTGACTCCTTGTGCTACTTCTCTTTTTCAGTCAGAGTTCTGCTATATAATGGTTTGCAAAAGACTGATACCAAGTCAAATTCATTACTGACACTACTTGTATTTAAAAAGTATTGTATTAATGAATGCAGAGCTGCATTATTTGTGACTTTTATATAATTCTGGAGTTCAGTTTTAAGAGAATCCAGAAACATTTGCATATTTTAATAACAAATGGTAGGGGTTTCTCAGCTAAGCACACCCTCCTGCCTGAATGCCTGAGCTAAGGGCAGATGGATACCAGGATGTAAATACTTCATGAATCATCTGTCTTTACTCAATTTGGATGCAGCTAAAAATGATAGGGGGTGTTTTCCAAAGTGATTTCTTAACAAAATAAAGCATGGAGAAATTAAAGGATGGGTGCGTTTTCTGTGAATATTGAAATTCAAATAATGTTTTCAGTTTGTGGTGCTCAGATACAGTTTGGTTTTCTCTTTAACTACCACCAGCCTAATACTTAACCTAGCTAATCCCTAGTACTAAATAATCTCTGAGTTTATAGAAGTGATCCCTTTGCACCTAAAGTAAATGTTTAGTTAAAGTGGATGTAAACCCTTATGCCTTACACCAACCCTTATACCCAGTAAAGTGATTGGCCTCAGGTGATATACAGCAATGAAGCAAATCTTCCTAAGTCTGCATAAGTTGTACCTGTGTAACTACAGCTATCTTTGCCTCACATCTATTCAAGGTGCAGAATTTACACAGGATCTCTCAGCTCTGAAAAGCAGGGGAGGAGAGCCGAAGTTATATCAGTGAGGAGAGCTCTAATAGCTGATTGGAGGGAAGGGACACACGCCCCTTCACACAGCACACAGAGACAGAGTTGAGGCTGTCAATCACATGTTGTGCCCTCCCCTGTCACCATTTTTCTTCTGGTGTCAGGAAAACTCATCAGAAGTGACAGATACCAGAGGAATGAAGTAGCAGACAGAAATAAAACTTAGTGCCCTGAATTGAGATAAGTACACACTATACAGGGATATGCTTTTTTTCATTTTTCATACCTGAGATTTACAACCACTTTAAAACAGAAAGTAAACTACTGGAACAGTGTTAGGTTAGATTTCATAGCCGGTTCTCTTGAACATTTGCACTGGGGCATTTGTTTTAGGGTTCATGCACATTGAATACTAAAATCTACTAGCCTAGACCCCTTCCTCCTGGCAGCAAAAAAAAAAAACACTTAACGCTGATAAACGCGTGTGTACCTTGTTTAGCCTCTTTTGCCTATGTCAGGCTCTTGGATGTCTATTCATTTCATTGGCCAGAATAATAACTTATTATTGCTATTGAAATTAAAAATGCTCAAGCGCTAAACATGCCTAGCATTAATGCGTATTTAGCCATGCATTTTTTGCTGCGCTTGGTGCTCTCCTGAACACGATTTCTCTGTGTTCAGGAGAGGAGCATTTTATATCCTTTAAATTCTGCTGCTCCTAAACTTTGCTAAAGCCCTGAGTGTGCATGAACACATAGGCTTTTATTGAGTTGTGTTCAGGGGCAAAAAACAGCAAAAGTTCCAAAACGTGAGTGTGCATGAGGCTTCATAACCACACTTTTGTTATCATAGCATGCTGGGATTTGTGGTCCCTCAGCAGTCAAACGGCATCTTACAGTAGAAGTCTCATAAGCATTCACAGCAAGATAGGCCCAGGACCCTCCCTGAGCATTACATTTCATAGAGCAGGCTTTATAGCCACACTTTTGTTATCATTGCATGCTGGGATTTGTGGTCCCTCAACAGTCAAACAACATCTTGCAGTAGATGTCTCATAAGCATTCACAGCAGGATAGGCCCAGGACCCTCCCTGAGCATTAAATGTAGACTTTTTAATCACACTTTTGTTATCATAGCATGCTGGGATTTGTGGTCCCTCAACAGTCAAACAGCATCTTGCAGTAGAAGTCTCATAAGCATTCACAGCAAGATAGGCCCAGGACCATCCCTGAGCATTAAATGTCATAGAGCAGGCTTTATAGCCACACTTTTGTTATAGCATGCTGGGATTTGTGGTCCCTCAGCAGTCAAATGGCATCTTGCAGTAGAAGTCTCATAAGCATTCACAGCAAGATAGGCCCAGGACCCTCCCTGAGCATTAAATGTCATAGAGCAGGCTTTTCATTGGGATCTCTGTCTAATTATGGATGAAATGAAACTACAGAACTCATTACACATATCATTTAAGCTGAGTCTAAATCACAGCAGCCCTCCCAGAGGTAAAGGTAGCAGCTCACACACACTGTTCCAACCTAATAAATCCATTTTTCATTTAAATGCCTCAGCCACTAGAGACAGTTCTTCTATTCTCCGCTGTTCAGCAATCCCTTGCTTAAAATGTTGCAGTGCCTGATCGCATTATAATCAGCAAACAACACTGCAGTCCCCTTAGCACAAAAAGCGGTCATGTTAAAAATATATAAATACATACCGGTACTAACAATTGGCTGTGTTCCGATGGACTCCGGAGTGACAGCTTATCCTGCAATCCACAGCAGGAGGAGGACAGAGCATTGCTACT